TGATCAGTTAGCTGCTATTGGTGCTCCTATTGCTAATGATGACAAAGTACACTGGTTCCTTCGTGGTCTTGGTCCCTCCTATGCAAATTTTTCCACGGGTCAGCTTGATCAGGTACCTTTGCCTCGATTTACTGATATTCTTTGTAAGGTCGAAAGCCATGCTATTTTTCAGGCATCTCTTGAGGAACCAACGCCCTCTCAGCCAGTTGCCTTCTATGCGAACAATCAACCTCGCTCATCTGGCAATCAGTCGTCTCGCAGTGGTAACCGTGGACATTCCAATGATGGTTCTAATGGTGGTAACCGTGGCAATTCTAATGGTGGTTCTCGTCAACGTCGCAACAACTCTGGTCGTCGCAACTCTTATGTCCCTCGATGTCAGATTTGTCGTGAACAGGGTCATTATGCTAACAAATGTCCTGTTCGCTGGGACTGGTCTTCTGAGTCTGCTAATTTGGCTCAGGCATTTGCTTCCAGTTGCTCGGTGGACACCTCAAACCAGTAACCAGATGATCCATAAGTTCATATTCCTACTAATAAAGAGATTAGGATTCCCCTAATTAGGGATTAAGAGTTAATCACACCAATAAGCCGATTAGAGACGTATTACCTAATATGGTAATCCTGTTGCATGGCCCATGGGAGTCCGGACCCATAAATGTCAGTATAAATAGCTCATGTCACGAGGTAACGTCATTGTTCATTAATTATCCTAGATATTCGTGTTTGTCCTGACTTGAGCATTGAAGTGCCTTTTGCAGGTACCAACCCCTTCATCGGAATATTCGATCGGAGCACTCGTTCGACCCTCAGACTACGAGAAGATTACAGTGTACCCATCAGACAGGTACATTAACTAATGCATTGTCACATGTTCACTTATAGATATCATCTAACAATATGAACAATTTAAATGATTTTCATCTACTAAATAAATCCAATCATTTTTATGCCTGAAGGATCAACTTAATCACAATAAAATGAGATAACAATCCAAGAAAAAAATTTATTTTCTTTTGATTACTTTTCATTCTATCCCCTCTTCCTAAACCTCCAATTGCACAAGAATCGTGCACCAAGCTCATGCATATTTTGCTCAAGCATAAAATGTTGAAGAACTATACGTTTTTACTTTGATTTTATTAAAAGGGTACACAAAATAATAAATATGTATATACACGTGACCACATGAAAATGACATCTAAGAACTACGTATCCAAATTCATGTTAAAAGAAAGACTTAAATATGTTTTTAGTTCCTCAAATTTAAAATAAATTTATTTTTGGTCCTTTAAATTTAAAATTATTATTTTTAGTCCCTGTAATTTTTAAGAATCTTATTTTAGTCATTTAGGTCACCAATAACATATTTGAAAGTGACTAATTAAAATAGTTATGCAATATCAATCGGATCTAATGTGATATTTTCACTAATAGAGATACTAATAGATAGATTTTAAGTAATAATGTTTGATAAATTTTTTAACAAAATTTGAATATAAAAACTAAAATATTTTTTTTTGAAATTACAGGGACTAAAAATAACAATTTTAAATTTGAGGGACCAAAAATAGATTTATCTTAAATTTGAGAGATTAAAAACATATTTAAACCTAAAAAAAAATATAACAAATTTACAAAATTACAGTATTTTTTTTTATCAGTAAAAAAAGCTGAAAAGAAATAGGCAAAATAAATAACTATCTGCATTTGAAGAAGGTTCCGCAGTTACAGTAATCTATATACGTGCATGTACGCTACTTATGAATATGTTAAGCGAGTGATTCTTTTTATTTATAAAATAGATATATGTAATTTGGTTTTTGTTTTGATAAATTCTAACATTAAGTATTTATTTAGAATTATATATATAATATATAATGATGTGTAACATGCGTAACATACAAGCTGATTGATTAATTCTAGGTAAAAATCCGACTAGTGTACCATCTAGGTAAAAATCCGACTAGTGTACCATCTAGGTAAAAACCCGACTAGTGTACCATCTAGGTAAAAACCCGACTAGTGTACCATCTAGGTAAAAATCCGACTTAACTAATCCTCACTCATTGCGCGGCCTCGTAGCAAGAACGGTTGAGGAAATCCCTATGTTCTCGGGGCCCATAAGGCCCATGGACGACGAAGTATAAAACCTAAAATCCTAAGGCTAAGAAGGCAGATTACACTTTTGAATGCTCTGGCTTTGAGGCTTGACCTAGGCAGAAACCCTAGCGCACCTCGTGGCCGGAACAAATACCTATTCAAGCTTTATAGCTTAGAGTTTTTATGTCAAAAGGTTGAGAACTCCTACTTCTAAGTAACACGTAGTCTCTCCAACATTATATAATAATCTTATATTTTAGTGTCGGTTGAACACATTTATACAAACTACACGCAATAGCATCACTATTCACTATTAACAAAAGACCACGACATTTACTTGCAACGACTTCTCAAGTTTAGCCTTGATATGCCCATATATAACGTATAATTATTATAGTCTAAACCACCATGGAAACAAAAAGGATAATCTAAAGTTATAAAACACGTATATGTAGAAAACAATCATATAATATATAACATCACATAATAATCATATATGAAAGTTACAACACTTAAAGCAAATATGTCTCTCATTCAAATCATGTCACACAAAACATTTAACAATGCACATGAACACATCATAATATATATCATATGCAAACACATTAATTGTACTGGTAAGGCTATTCAACCACCTGACTCGACCATTCGGCCACCCGATAGCCAACATCCAATCGGCACCTGAATGGCCGAATCAGGTGGCCGAATCCCGATCGGCAACCAGATGATCCATAAGTTCATATTCCTACTAATAAAGAGATTAGGATTCCCCTAATTAGGGATTAAGAGTTAATCACACCAATAAGCCGATTAGAGACGTATTACCTAATATGGTAATCCTGTTGCATGGCCCATGGGAGTCCGGACCCATAAATGTCAGTATAAATAGCTCATGTCACGAGGTAACGTCATTGTTCATTAATTATCCTAGATATTCGTGTTTGTCCTGACTTGAGCATTGAAGTGCCTTTTGCAGGTACCAACCCCTTCATCGGAATATTCGATCGGAGCACTCGTTCGACCCTCAGACTACGAGAAGATTACAGTGTACCCATCAGACAGGTACATTAACTAATGCATTGTCACATGTTCACTTATAGATATCATCTAACAATATGAACAATTTAAATGATTTTCATCTACTAAATAAATCCAATCATTTTTATGCCTGAAGGATCAACTTAATCACAATAAAATGAGATAACAATCCAAGAAAAAAATTTATTTTCTTTTGATTACTTTTCATTCTATCCCCTCTTCCTAAACCTCCAATTGCACAAGAATCGTGCACCAAGCTCATGCATATTTTGCTCAAGCATAAAATGTTGAAGAACTATACGTTTTTACTTTGATTTTATTAAAAGGGTACACAAAATAATAAATATGTATATACACGTGACCACATGAAAATGACATCTAAGAACTACGTATCCAAATTCATGTTAAAAGAAAGACTTAAATATGTTTTTAGTTCCTCAAATTTAAAATAACAACGCTTAGCTTGACGGGGGGTGTTAAGAGCTAGTTATCAAGACTAATATCCTAACATTTATTCTCTCATTATTATGATTTATTCTCTCATTATTATGATGTAATTTCCTGTTTTACATTGTAATCTTTTTCTTTAAATCATATTGATTGCTTCACACAAATTGTGGTGAGATTTATCACATCTTACAATATATATATATATTACTTTATACGTGTATATCAAATTTTGTTAAAATTAAACAATAATTTAAAAATAATCAAAGTGTTCATATTTTAGTATATTTTGAAATGAATATATTACATCAAATTTTATTTTATAAAAATAATATATCAAATTATCTTGGATTAATATAAAATTTTGTATATATAATATAAGAGATATAAACCTTTAATCTAACGATTACATTTACAAAATTCACATTTAATATAAAATTATTAAATAATATAATATTTAATAAAAATTATACTGATATAATTATAACCCATATATATATATATATACTGGAAAGATCTTATTTGAATATAAGGTACCAATTTGTTCGGCTAAGGGTGGAAAAATTTCCTTACAGATTTGGATGTCACATGCAAAATAAAATGAAAATTAAATTAACTAATTTTAAATATTATATATTTTGAGATATTTTAAAAGATTAATTAATTCATGAAATTATTTTAAATTTAAATTAAAATTTATAATAATTGTTTTATTAATTATTAGTATTAAAACTTAATTAATATTAATAATTAATAAAAATATTATTTTGAGAATATTATTTTTTATGATTCTATTTATTTCAAGTAGCTTTAATAAAATCTCAATTTTTTCAATACTTAATTAATCAATTAACTTTAATTATCATAATTAATTATAATTATAAATATTGAAATTGAGGAGCATTACTCTCTAGTCTCTTCTCTCTTTTTTGAGTTAAAAAATTGTTAATTTTGTAGACTGGAAAGATCTTTCATGTAAGATCCATTCTGTTGTATCTTAAAAGCTTACACAAAATCTGCATACATTTCTACTCAAGGTCAAGGATAAGAATCCCTAGACATCTAGAAAATAATTGTGTATTTATTTATTCTTGACGGTGGATCAATTCCCGGTGGTTTCAATAATTTTCCAACCATTGATTAAGTTATTAATAAGTGCATAAATCTCCTACGACATATGGGTCAATTAGTAAATTAGTAAGAAATTGATTCAATTGAGTCTATAATTTTGAGTTTTAATATTGTGTATGTAAGTATATATAGTTACATTAAATATTTTTAAAACATGATTATTTATAACAATTGATAAAATAACATTATCATTAATAGAGACTTTGTATGAGCTTATTCAATGTTATTTGTTTATGAGTTATGAGTTCTCAGTGAATAAACATCTCCTTTGATATCAGATATAAAGTTTTTGTAACTTATTTTAAGTATATATATTTTTCGAAGAGTATTATATACATTGTTGTTGATTGGAAATTTGGACACGCATCAACACTGTTACGATATATTTTTTCTATAAATAGGGAGCGAGCTATCCTCCTACAACCATATCCATAATCTTTGTTCCATACAACCCAAAAGAAAAAGAGAGGAAGTCATAGGCGTTCTTTATATTATTGAAATGGCAATGAGGCCAGCACTTTTTTTGTTTCCTCTTCTACTTGCTTTCTTGGTATGTTCACTTTTCATTGTTTCACAATTTTTATTATCATTCCTTGTCTTTACATTAATTAGTTATTGCCCATTCCACACAGTTGTAAGGGATTTAAATGAATCGGTTTTTAACAACAATCAATATTCAAATAATTTGGAGTCAAGGAATTGAAATAAGCTTGAAGAAATACGAGGAAGAATCGGCATGACATGACAAAATAAAAATATTTTATCCCTAATTCTAAATGATAAATATATGTTGCAAACATGGAATTAATCTTGTAGGTTTGTAGAATAATAAATATATCTTATCACACTTTATTTTTATTGCACTATTTATGCTTAAATCTTAACTATCTAGGAGAGTAATAAATATATCTTATCACACTTTATTTTTATTGCACTACTTCTTATGGTCAAATCTTTACTATTTATTCTTCGCACGTTGATTTTTTTAGGTTAAAATCTTTGATTTTTTTAGGTTAAAATCTTTTCATCAATTGTTATAAAGTAAGTGTAAAAAATAGTGCAAGAAAAGGGAGTAAACAATCATGATTCTTCATAAAATGGATTAACATTTTAATTTAATTAGTTTTCAATTTCATTAATTAGCTTTGTTATCGAATTATTTAATTTGGATAGTAATTCTAAGTTTCTAACAACAATTTTTTCCTTTTTATCTTTTATTTTATGGATATTTTTTGCGAAGAAGTTTGCTACTACAACAGAATCAAGTAAAGAGTCAGAGGAATATTGGAAAACGATCATGAAAGAACAAGAAATGCCAGAAGGACTTCAGGGCCTTCTTCCTATCCAATCTGAAAATAATCCCAAAGCTCAAGAGCAACTTGTTAAAGATTCCGAGCACAATTGTGAAGAGTCTCTTGTTACAAACACACAAGTTGCCTCTAAAAAAAAGGTGTTCACGAAAGATTTTGGTACTAAAGTTGGCCATAAACATGATGAATCACAAGTGAATAGTGAATTTCAACTTAGACCAAGTATTGTCAAGTATGATGATTTTAAACCCAGACCAAGTGTTACTAAGTATGATGATTTTAAGCCAAGACCAAGTGTCACTAATTATAATTTTGAACCTAGGCCAAGTGCTACCAAGTATGATGATTTTGAGCTAAGATCAAGTATAACCAAGTACAATGATTTTGAACCTAGACCAAGTGTTACTAAGTATGGTGATTTTGAACCAAGACCTAGCGTTACCAAGTATAATGATTTTGAACCTAGACCAAGTGTTACTAAGTATGGTGATTTTGGACCAAGACCAAAGTATAATGATTTTGAACCTAGACCAAGTGTTACTAAGTATGGTGATTTTGAACCAAGACCAAGCGTTATCAAGTACAATGATTTTGAACCCAGACCAAGTGTTACTAAGTATGGTGATTTTGAACCTAGGCCAAGTGCTACCAAGTATAATGATTAAATGAAGAAGAAGAAGCATGTAGTTATATAACGCATCCAAAGAATATTGTGTTTAGTATCCAATAAATCATTGTGGATGTGGTGTATTTTAGTGTCTACTTTCTAAATAAATTATGTTACATGTAAAATAATGTACTATGGGAACCAAAAGGATAATAAAATTGGATTGTCTTCCTTTACAATGAGGTTTTTGCATGTCTGTTTACTTAATTTATTTAGATTTAATTATTTTTAGGACTTAATTTAATAGACTATATAGTGTGTAGTCGTAGATCAACTTCCGTGTAATTGTTTTAATTTAACTAATAATTTTGAATTTGAATTTTAGATATATAATTGTATTAGGTATTTGAAAGAATAATTTTGTCACCTATAATCTTACATAACTCAAATAATTTTTTTTTTGAAGGGTATTATTTTTTGAAAGGATATTTGATGTTTATATATAAAAAAAAAAGTATTTATATTGTCATCTAATTATACGAAAGGTAATTAAATGAGATATGAGATATATCAATGTCTTGTATACTGTTTATTACATACAAATTAAATGAGAGGGAACTCTAATTTTTCACTTTCACTTATGGCTCTTTCCTGAGTTTTTCAGTGGCCATACAAAGCACTCAAGTCTAATGGTTACACGCTCAACTCTAAAACATTGTTGGTTCGAGGTGATTTTAAAAGAGACCACACTAGTGGAAAAAAGACTTTTAAAATCGGTTATTTTTGACTTTTAAAATCGGTTCTGTAACCGATTTTGAAAGAGCCGATTTTAAAAGTTAGACTTTTAAAATCGGTTAAACAACCAATTTTAAAAGTTAACTTTTAAGATCGGTTGTTTTACAACCGATTTTAAAAGTCTGGCCGTGAAAAAAAATTAAACTGGAACGGCCCGTTCCAAAACCGGATCGGTACGTTCCAATCTGATCAAAAGGCCTAAAAGTTCACTTGAAGTACGGGGCGTTCTCCAGGGAGTACGGTCTGTTCTCCTTGAAGAACGGCCCGTTCTCAATGGAGAACGGCCCGTACTCCTTGGAGAATGGCCCGGACTCCTTGGAGAACGGCCCGTTCTTCATGAAGTACGACCTGTTCTCCAAGGAGTACGGGCCGTTCTCCTTGCAGAACGGGTCGTTCCAGCTGCGAAATCTTCCCAAAATGAACCTACAACGAAAATTGAGACGAGAAAAACATGAGAAAACGAAAAGAGACACAAAAAGAACATAAGCGGACGAAAATGAAAACGAAATTTACCTGGAGACTTTAGAAAATAAGAAAGATTAAAGAAAATGAGAATGGAGGGGAATATAAAAGATTTCTGACAATACTTTTAAAATCGGTTAATTAATAACCGATTTTTTATACTACATACAAAATCGGTTATGGAAGAACCGATCTTAAAAGTGACACTTTTAAGATCGGCTATGAAAGAACCGATTTTTACAAGTGACACTTTTAAGATCGGTTATAAAAGAACCGATCTTAAAAGTACTTTTAAGATCGGTTAAATTTTAACCGATCTTAAAAGTGTTCATATTATTTACAAAATTGCAACCGCGTCATTTTAAGATCGGTTACCTTGTAACTGATCTTAAAACTCCGATTTTAAATCCAATTTTTGCACTAGTGCAAGTATGTGAAAAAATTATATTTTATGTTGTTTGGGAAGGGTGAGAAATGGGAAAAGAGAGAAAACATTATATATATATATATATATTTGTTGATATGAAGATATTATGGTGAAATAAGTGGAAAAAAATGGTGGGACCTATTATAATTGAAATTATATTATCCATTTATTTTGATTTATATAATTATTTTTAGGGGGTAAATATGTATTTTTAACACATTTATTAACATTTTTTTTCTTATTTTCTACTCCTTTCAATCCAAACAACTTAAAAATTTATTAATTTTTTTTTCTCATTCTCTCTTCTCTCCTAGTTCTTTCTTCTCAAAATGTTTTACTATCCAAACAAAGCATAAAGGTTTTAAATGGTTCGCATCAATAGACTAACCATATGAAATAGATTAAGTTGGACTAAACTTTTGATGGAATCCTAATTCTTCGACTAGGTCTAGTCTAATTGCTTGATAGCTATGATGAATGGTTTTTTTCTCTAATATATAATCTATATATATTATAAAAGGAATATCTTGATTTTATATACACAATTTTTTGACTATTTTATCCTAAGATTTTTAAATAATAAAAAAATAATATTAAAAAGGTTAAAATCCTTATTTGGTCCCGTATAATATTTTTTTGTTTCAATTTAGTCCCACTTTAATTTTTGGTTTCAATTTGGTCTCCAATAATTTAAATTATTGCAATTTAGGACTTTCGTCCAAATGATTTAAACGGAGTTAACTATTGACCACGTGAATGTCAGATGGATACCACGTAGATGCCACGTAAATGCGTAAGTGGATGCCAAATTTCTTGAATACACCTGAAATCAGAACAGCCCGTTCTGAAACCAGAACGTCCCGTTCTGATTGCACTCTTGGTGTGTTAATTTTGTACTTAGAACGGGCCGTTCCAGATGTAAAATTAACACATGCATGAAGTTGGTATTCTGGAACGGGCCGTTCTGAATCCAGAACGGCCCGTTCTAACACCAGAACGGTTCGTTCTGGTGTCAAAACGGGACGTATTGATGCAATTATGGTGTGTTAATTTTGCATTTGGAACGGCCCGTTCCAGTTGCAAAATTAACACATAACATGTGCAAGCAGAACGGGCCGTTCTGGTTTCAGAACGGGCCGTTCTAGTTCCAGGTGTATTGATGGATTTTTGCATCCCCTATGCATCTATGTGGCATCCACGTGGCCAAGAGTTAACTCCGTTTAAATCATTTGGACGGAAGTCCCAAATTGCAATAATTTAAATTATTAGGGACCAAATTAAAATAAAAAATTAAAATGAGATTAAATTGAAACAAAAAAATATTATAAAGGACCGAATAAGGGTTTTAACCTATTAAAAATGAAGAAGTTCAAAGATTAAGTACAATATCAATTGATTTAAGAAACATTAATAATTTTTAAACACTTTTAAATAAATATAAAAACACAGAATGCATCGACTCCACTAGTATATAATAAAGGAGATTGTTTAATTTGATGTACACATTTTTTAAACAATTTTACCATTAAATTTTTAAGTAATAAAAAATAATATTAAAAATCAATCATTTTTATAATGATAAGATTCAAACGCAAAACTTTTAGGTTTGAAAGTTAAATTTAATACTAATTGACTTATCAAACATTAGTAATTAAAAAAACTCATTAAAACCCTCTCAATATAAAAAGTAAAAAATCACGATCACAAGTCAATCAATCAAGCTCCATTGTGATTAAATAAGGATACAAGATAGTATAATCAAATGCATACACGAATGCTTACAACCAACTAATATATTAAAGCAACAAAACCAACTAATATATTAAAGCAACAAAAACTCTTGATTGAAGAATAAAAAAGAAGAAACCTTAAATTAGAGCAATTATGGAAAATTGATTTCTCCAACCACAGACCACCAATTCACAATCCCAACGGTCAAAACGAAGATCACTTTGTTAAGAACCTGTTGTCAAATTTTTAGCCCAATCAAATCATAAACGAAGTAAAAGTTACAATTTTATTGAAATTACTCTATGTATGCGAAGCAAATTTTTTACTCACTTTCTCTGTTTTTTCTTCTCTCTATTGAGCCTTTTTAAGAGCCCAACCCAACAAGTATCAAATCCCATGCCACCACAACACACCAACAAATCCAGCAACTACACTAATGTTAAAAGAAAAAAGGTCCTACTATCAATATTAAAAGGCTATCATTGTTCACCATTATATTTTATCCGAAAAATGCTCAAATATTTCTAGAATTAATGTTTAACTAAAATTTATAATAAATTATATATAAATAAATATTGTATAAATTATTAAAATTTTATATAAAAAATATTTTAAAAAATATAAATTATATTTAAATTATTTAAGACAAATAATTTATATAGAGATAAAATATTATTTTTAATTATTGATAATTTATTTTAAATATTTTTAAAAAATTAATTTACAGTTAAATTAATAAATAAATAGAATTAAAAAATAAAATAAAAAATGAGTAATAAAAATATATTAGTTCAATTAGTGTTGCAATTTTTCTTTAAATCTCAATATCTTAAATTTGATAATTTATTTTAATTTTATTCATAATAAAAAGATATAATAATCTATCAAATATAAAAATCAAAGTAATGACTAATAGAGATACTTTATATATTAGTATGGATACAATCAAATAATAAATGTGAGTATCACTTTTGATATAGAGATTTGAGTTTTGACTTGTTTTATTGAAAAAGTTTAACCCTTTCTCTTGTAATTTATATTCTTATATATGATAGAGATTAATAATCTATTTAAATATTAATTTATAAACATTTTAAAGAATTTTTATTAAAAAATATTTGTTATTTTTAATATAAAAAATTCTCAAAATTACTTTTAATTTATATAAAAATAGACTCTAATTCCTTTACTCGTTATTTATATCCGTTTATATGATTGATGAAAACACGATCGAGAAAATTATTAAAATAACTAATTGGGCTTTCGGATACTTCAATTTATATGTTATCTATTCATTTTTTTCCCATTTGTAACTTCCAAGGTTTTGACTTCATTTCTTTTTCACTTTTAAATCACAGCTCGTCCCACTCCACTTAGGGAAGGAATTTAAATTAATTAGAATTTTTGTCTGAAATTAATTAGATTTGTATAATTTAAAAATAGAGACATTGTTTGAAAAGATAGACAGAAATCGCAAACTCTGAAATAATTAAATAAACGTATATAACAATACAATGCCCATGTAAAAAGATATGCAAAAGGTGTTTCTTTTTTTCTTCCATAAAATAATATAATTTCGTGCTAGATAATTCGATTATCATATGTAGATATTATTTTATACATGTACAAACAAACTCAATTATAAGACAGCCCATACAACACATGATCCAAAGATCTTCGATAGAAAACAAAGATTCAAATCCCAACCTTTTAACTTTTTCAGGTAATGGAAGACCACTATCTGAGCAGTCTATACGAGCATGTGCATATGCTGTAATCTGTATGATGATCATCTGAGATATTGATTCAAAATTAGTATGACCC